ATATCTAAGGGATTCCTTGGTTCGGACCGAAGAAGCAGTGTCACTCGATCATTATCAAACTGACATACTCATGGCCTGGTCTTCTAGGAYGACTAAGCATCAACTAGGTCAACCAGTCAATTAAAACTAGTCAACCACAAAATAAATTTAAAKCTCTATTTATTTGTCTGTCTCTAATTATTCGAAAAAATATAAAATATGTTTGTATTTTGTTATATTCATGATGTTGATTTAAATAATTTTGATAGAACATGACTAACTGGTGGTATATAAAATAGAAATAAAAAGGTATAAAATAAAAGAAGGCAGTGAAGGAATGCTTTTAAGTTTTCTTCCAATTAGTGGTGTGTTGGCACAGATTTGCCACAGACAAAGGACACATCAAACAGTTAAGATTGCACTCTTTCTTTGAAAACAAAGGCTGTAATTCCCTATCCCAGCCTATGCAGCCTAACCATTTTATATTTTTAAAACTGTAAATGAAATGTTCAACAATATGGCTAGTCATTACCTTACTGCATTAATAACACTGGTCTTACTAAAATAAGAAGAACCCCTCTGCTTTTCCTATTTCCCCTAGAAAGGAGCAGGGAGATGGCAGGAGTGCATTTAGGGGAAGCTACAATGGTTGGTTAGGGGAAGTTAACCAAACATAACGTATGGTTCCATATTGRGAGGGGGTGTGTCAGTTAGGGGAAGCTACAATGGTTGATTAGGGGTAGCTAACCAACCATAACGTATGGTTCCACATTGGCGTAGGGGGTGTGCCAGTTAGAGGAAGCTACAATGGTTGGTGAAGCTAAAATTCCATAAAATTGGAATGGGGACGCTACTCTGTGAAGATTTTTCAAATGATTCCTTTGAGATTATTTAATTATGCACCAATCTACTAGCTTCCTCATTGATGTCATTAGTGGTGATATCATTACCAGCTGTGGCCTCCAATAGCATTCTCTGACACTACTATTTGACCTTACAACCCTCTTCTTTGTTGGGGAGGTGGAAATGAGTTGAAAGCTCAATAATACATATACAATGGCATAAAAAACAAATAGCATCAGTGACTGCAAAAATAACAGRCATCCACATGCACAATAGTGCAATACAATATCCTATTGGATAAACCTCTTCTAATTTCTTGACAGAACAGCTTCAGGTGCAAGTTCATAATTGGACAGTTGATGCAATCAAGAAATGGTCTAGTGTTTAATTATAATTAGGTATGTCTATGCATATTTTCATTCCGAAGTTTGAGATCTAATTTCTAATTTTCTAAAAAGAAATATGAAAAAAATATAACCATGCCTTTAGGTTGTACAAGAAGGAAGTATGAATTATATCCCTTACCATTTTTAAGAAACCTACTAAATTGCAAATCTTTGATATTTGGAGGTAAGATGTCAACTTGTTCCATTAATCTCCATAACAGTATTATTGAAATTAGGTACCTAGAAGATCATATAGAATGTGAGAAATGAACAAAGAAATTGAAAAATATTAAGGCATAAATATATTCTATATCTAAGAAAAATACATGCTGGTAAAATAGTAATTGATATAAAAATATAAAATTAAACAATTCCACTACCAAGATGCAACTTACTGAGAAATAACATGAGCAATGGCTGCGCCACTGACACCCAAGTGGAAAACAAATATAAGTATTGGGTCTAAGATGATATTCATTACATCTCCTGCCACTGGATTAAATCAAATAAAGAAAACGAACTAGAATTAGATAAAATGTCCATTAATGAGAGCAAAGGAAATAAACTCTATTTTGGTCTTGATAAATTTCATGAAGTTGAACTCAAATGCATGCACATACATACACGTGCATGCATGCAAGCAAGCAACTACACTTGCATGTTACACCCTTAGATAAAGAAGTACAGGTATAATCATAATACATGTTCCATTATTAACAAAAGGAAAGTGAATGCAAAAAAAATGAAATATAATCTAAGTTTATGGCATACCAGTAGCATATAAAGGAGTTTTTGTATCCTTAAATCCTCGAAAGACCCCTTGCACGGCTAATGAGAGAAGAACAGCAGGAGCACCAATCGACCTTAATGTCAAGTACTGTCGTGCTGGAGTAAGCATAGGTGAATCCTATTAAGACAAAGATGTCTTCCTGTTACCATTGCATTGTAGTTACCAACCTCTAGCAAAAAACTAATACTTGAGATAGCCCATTACTATATCAGAAATTAGGTATTTCTGGTTCAAACTTGCTAGATTATACCAATTATACAAATATCTCATTGTCTAGACAAAGCTAAAAAAATCAGAATTCTTCCACAATCCTACTCAAATTAGAAATATCAATAAAAAACATGCATTTCCTAGTAATCAAACTTCAAGGGTAAACTTTATCATTAGAAAGTGGACTGATCATCAAAATATAGTAATTGATAAAAGTCAATCATGTGTTTGAAACTTCATAGGTAAAACTAATCTTCCTATACCAGTATTGCATAATGCACGGATACTCTTTTGTTAGCACCTGATTTTATGGGGAATCTGAACACATTTTTAACTCCCTTTGTCCCTAAACCCTTTAACTCATTTTAAAACTCCCCTGGACTCCTAAATATGGTCAATAAAAATATATAAATGGTATATTTTATGAATTCATGTTGTAAGAAACTTGGAAATATCTAATGTGAAACACCTATTTCTACTCCTTGTACTCCAAGAGCTATATTCCCTTTTCCATATCATTGTTCATATCTGTATTCATATCTAGGCATATTAGCTATTGCTTGTCAGAAGGCATGCCAATGATGCAACTTCAGTGGCATAAATGAAGTCTAATGCCCYTATAAAGCTCTTCATGCAATGTAGACTCTTTAGGAGTCAGGCTATGAGAGAATTCTCTTGATGTCGAACCCCATCCATCTTACTGCAGTAAACATGATAACAAAAGTTAACACTCTGCTTCTAACCAAGGTTCAAAGTATCGATACACCCCAATATGCTGGAAGGGATGTATTGGTACTCTTTACCTAGCTCCAACCTTTTTTTAGTTTTTTTTTTTCAAAAAATAGGTCAAGTGGTAGGTCTTAGGCCTGCCTACCCCCTGAAATATGTAAGAAGGCTAAATCCCTTGTATTTTGAGTATCAGACACCCACTGATACGAGACGATACGCCTGAATGCCTGATATGGGGCATATCGTATTGAAATTTTGAACCTTTCTTTTATGGGAAATTGTCTAAAACTCATCATTACTTTTCAGCATTTCTCTTAAACTCACCATAACTTTTCAAAATGTCTAAAACTCACCATGTCGAGTAACAGACTAACGATTGTTACTATATTACCATTTTACCCTTCATAGAAAAATATAAAATATATACATTGTTAAAAGACTGTTATTTATCAGTACCGCAGGGGTACTCTTGTACTTTCCTCCTTTTATTTTTTATGTTCTGTCACCCTAGTATATATATATATATATATATCAACAGCTGGTGCTGCCAGCAGCACTTTTGGCTCTCAGTTCTCTCTTCTTCTCTCTCACTCCTCTCTTCTTCCATTCTTCTCTCCTGCATAACATGGTATCAGAGCGGGACTATCAGATCTGAAAGGAGAAGTCGAGTGAACAGTTTTCTTCGCACCAGATTTGTAGATCTGCCGCCCTCATCTACTGTTTGGCTGATTGAAGATCTCACGCACTGAAATAACTTTTCTCCTTCTCCTCCTTTTTTCTGGTCGTGTGCCAGGGCAGAACCTGTACTAGGTCTGCTGGTTGGATGTGAGGTGATCAGCACCTCTTTCTTTCCTTTTTTGTGGGGTCAACTGATCCCTGTAAAACTGTAGGTCATGAAGACCTTTTGTGTGCTGCAACAGCAGCTTTTATGGTGAACTGAAGGTCAGAAAGTGACCTGTACTTGATGTAATAGCTTTCCTGTTAATGCGTAGGTCAAGAGATGACCTGTATGTACTATGGAAACACCTGTGTTGATTCTGTAGGTCAAGGGATGACCTGTTAGTGCTGTAACAGCACCTGTGTTTTATAGAAAAGAGTTGTGTTTCCGAAGAAAAAAGGGGTTTCCTTTCTCCCTCGGTGTTAGAGCTTTTTTTAAGGTTTTGTACCCACTTTAAGAGTGTTTTTTGAATCTGTAATCATGAGTGGTGAAGATTTTGCTACATCCAGTGTTTCCTCAATGCYGAATGGAATGAGTGGGGGTGTGGACCTATCCTTTCCCATGGCTGTTATTCCTCTTGATGGCTTAAATTATTTAGAGTGGTCAAGAGGGATCAAGCTGTACATCACTGCAAGGGGAAAGATAGGTTATATAAATGGGAGAATCAAAGAACTCAATTCTGGGAGTGCTTAATATGACAGATGGAGCTAGGAAAACAACATGGTCATGTTCTGGCTTTTAGTGTCTATGCAACCTCAAATAAGAAGGAATTTTATGTGGGCTGAAACGGCAAATGAGATCTGGGAACAAGCAAAATCAACCTACTCTAAACTGCGTCACTATGCAAAAATCTACCAGTTACAGGCAGAATCGTCCACTTGTAAACAGGGGGAAAGGTGTCCATCTATGTACTACTCAGACTTGACCTCTGTCTAAAAGGAGCTAGACCATTATCAGAGTGTGGACTGGAAGTGTGATGAAGATGCAAAATTGTACAAAAAACTTGTTTCCCAACAGAGAGTGTTTGCTTTCCTACATGGTTTGAACCCTACATATGAATCTATCAGAGTCCAGATCCTAGGTAGCAAGGATCTTCCATCTGTCCAGGAAGTTTATGCTCTTGCACAATCAGAAGAAAGCAGAAGAAATTTAATGAACAATTCTAGAGGGGATGTAGTTGTGTTGGTAGCAAAAGGGAGTGTTACTACCGGTGGGGGAAATACCTTTAAGAAGGGTGATTTTCAGAAAGAGTGGATGACAAAGACAAACTGTTGTGTACTCATTGCCAAAAACCCCGACACACCCGAGACACATGCAGGGATCTTCATGGAAAGATGAAATGGGCTCAAGATCTGAATAAGAAGCAAGGTTCATATATGAATAAAAATTCGGGACAGAAAGGTAAAAGAAAACACACTATGGCAAATATGGCTACTCAGGAGAATCAGCCCCCCATTACTAAGGTGACTCAGACACATGCCTCTGGATCTGACCCAAGGGAGGATATTATAAATTCCTTCTGTGACCATTTAGAGCTYTATGGTAGAGCAATTCGTCAGATGGATGCTCCTCCCTCAACTTCATTTGCATCTACATCAGGTAACTCTACCACATCTTTCCATGTAGCATCTCATACCCCTGATACTCCTTGGATCATTGATTATGGAGCGTCTAAACACATGACTGGTAAGTCCTCTTACTTTCAAACCTATCACCTCCTTTCTAGAAGAGACAATGTGAGACTAGCTGATGGATCATACTCTACCATAGCTGGTTAAGGAACCATTTATCTTCCCTTTGGCCTTACCCTGTCTAATGTTTTACATGTCCCAAAATTTTCCATTAATTTGTTCTCTGTTAGTAGTATTATTAATTCCTTAAACTGCTCAATGACCTTTTTACTTTCTCACTGTGTGATATAGGATCTGGCCTTGGGGAAGATGATTGGTAGAGGATGTATGGTGGATGGGCTTTACATGTTGGAGAATAAAGCTGGTCTTCAAGTCACAGAGTCTAAGAGTCAGTCTTGTAAGGGTTAGGTCTATTTATGGCACAGTCGTCTTGGTCATTTATCTTTTGAGTCTTTAAAAATTGTGTTTCTAGAATTATTTAAGTCAGTATCAGTGTTAGAATTTACTTGTCAAACTTGTCAATTGAGTAAGCAATGTAGAACTCATTTCTCTTCAAAGAATAATAAATCTGAATTTCCTTTCCACATTATTCGTTTTGATGTTTGGGGCCTTGTTACTTTACTATTTGAGAGTGGCTATAAGTATTTTCTTACCCTTATTGATGATTACTCCAGATATACATGGGTATATCCCATGCGAACTAGGGATGAAGTACCTAAAATTATTCAAGATTTCCAGCGGATGATCTTCACCCAATTTCAAACTGAAATCCAAAATTTTCAATTAGACAAATGCCAAAGAATATTTTCATAGTGATCTTAAAGAATTTTTGTTTCACGTAGCTCACTTCACCATAGCTCTTGTTCCTGAACATCACAACAAAATGGTGTTGCTGAAAGAAAGAACCAACACCTTCTTGAAGTGGCCCGGGGGTTACTATTTCATATGAATGTCCCGAAACGTTTTTGGCTTGAGGCTGTCCTTTGTGCTACCTATCTCATCAACCGCATGCCCTCTCGTCGGTTAGAGTGCAAAGCCCCACATCAGCTTCTTTTCTCTAAGGCTCCCTTTCTTCCTATTCCTCCTCGTGTGTTTGGGTGTCATTGTTTTGTTCAAAATATGTCACCCACTCATGGAAAATTAGATCCTTATGCCATTCCTTGCATTTTCTTGGGGTACTCCTTCACCAGAAGGGATACCGGTGCTTTCGTCCTGTTTCTCGGAAATTTTATCTCTATGGATGTCTCTTTTTTTGAGAGTGAGCCTTTCTTCCCTGTTTCTCCTCAGGGGGAGTCTAGGAATGAGGAGAAACTAGTTTAGCTCCCTCCTCTTCCTGATCCTCCTCCATTTCGTGTCTTCTTTTGTCATCACAAAGGCCGACCGTGTTCAAGAGCTGTGGCACACCTAGAAGCTATACCACCAATGCAATCAGACTCACTGGGGGCGGATCATACCCATTCAGGTACATTGTTCCTGTTGATGTTCCTGACCCTATTGCCGTTGACACTTTTGTTGCTAATGACCTTGACCTTCCTATTGCGCTCACTAGAAAGGTGTTAGATCTTGCACCACTAAACACCCAATTTCCCACTTTGTTTCCTATGAAAACATTTCACCCTCCTTTTGAGTCTTTCTCTCTTCCATTGACAGTGTCCCTATCCCTAAGAATGTGGCAGAAGCTCTTTGGTACCTGAATGGATAGATGCTATGAAGGAAGAAATTAATGCATTACATAAAAATGGCACATGGGAACTAGTAGATCTTCCTGAGGGGAAAGATCCAGTTGGATGCAAATGGGTTTTCATGGTTAAACACAAGGTTGATGGCACCGTGGAATGGTATAAAGCTCATTTAGTGGCAAAGGTGTTCACACAAGTGTGTGGAGTAGATTATGCAGAAACTTTTGCACCTGTTGCTAAGATGAACTCCATTAGAATCATTTTCTCCTTAGCTGTTAATCTTGACTGGGATCTACATCAGCTTGACATCAAGAATGCCTTCCTGAATGGTGACCTTGAAGAGGAAGTATACATGGTACAACCCCCTGGTTTTCGGGCTCAAGGTAATGAGCAGAAAGTGTGCAGGCTAAAGAAATCATTATATGGGCTGAAACAATCACCAAGAGCCTGGTTCAGCAGGTTCCATGTAGCAATACAACAAAGAGGATACAAGCAATGTCAGTTTGATAACACATTGTTTGTGAAGAGAGGGGAAGGGAAAATTGCAGTACTGATAGTATATGTCGATGATATAGTTATCACTGATGATTGGAAAGATGAAATTCAGAAGTTGAAGAATTTTCTTGCTACCCAGTTTGAAGTGAAAAATCTAGGTCCTCTAAGGTACTTCCTTGGGATTGAAGTGGCCCGCTCACAAAGGGGTATCTTCATTTCCCAAAGAAAGTATGTCCTAGATCTACTCCAGGATACAGGAAAACTGGGAGTGAAGCCAGTTGATTCCCCTATTGATCCTAACCACAAACTAGGTGATTGTTAAGGTGAACCCATCAAGGATGTGAAACTGTTCCAGAGACTTGTAGAAAGACTGTTATATCTTTCTATGACTCGACCAGACATAGCTTATGCAATGGGTGTTCTTAGCCAGTTCATGCATGCCCCTAAGACTACCCATCTTGAAGCAGCATAAAGAGTTCTCAAATATCTTAAGAAGTTCCCAGGTGTAGGCTTGTTGTTCCAAAAGCATGACATTTGAAAGTTGAAGTGTATACTGATGCAAATTGGGCAAGATCCCTGAATGATAGAAGGT